AAACCCCCAGTAGAGAGCTCCGGAAATACAAGAGGGGAAAGGGTGGCAGCTCACAAAGGGTGTGTGGTCAGGCAGGTCCCCACTGTGGGCAGTTGGAGCTAAGCGCTGCCCCCGCCCTGGGGTGCGGGGTGGTGGGCCTTCTGGGAGACAGGGCAGAGCACACAGGTCAGGGGTCTCCTCCACCGGGGCAAGCAGGCTGGGTGGCGTCTTTATCCATAGGGCACTTCTGGCCTCGGTGGCCAGAGAAAGCCCCCAGGAAAGAGATGTGGGTGCTGAGAGAAATAGTAAGGACCCTGGGGATCGGAGAGGTCACTAGGAGGCCTGCTTCATTCAGCGTGGCTGCTACTCTTCCGTTCCAGACGAGGAAGCTGGGACTCGGAGCCATTCAACAATGAAGAGCCCAGGTTTCTCAATCGGCTGACCTCAGCAAATCCCTTGGCGCCCCAGTGGTGATTTCCGATCGTTTGTCTTTAGGAATTTCTGCCTTAAAAGAAAATGAAAGAAAAGCCAGCTAATGACCCTCCCCTCGTGTGCGGTGTAACTGACTCAGGGGTAGTCGGACCCTGCCCTGCAGGGTGGCTCTGAGTAGCCTGGGCAGTGAGTCCACTTTCTCCTTTTGTATTCTAAACCAAATCTGCTTTTGCCCTTAAAACAGTCCCTTCACGTGGAGAGACTTGGTGATGCAGGAAACCAAGTTCCCTGCCCTGGGGTGGGGGGTGGACCCCGTTGTGGTGACGCCACAGAAGAATTCAGCGCTTGTAGGAGCTCCTGGGTACCACCAGCCTCCCAGCTTTACTGAGCTCTGGAGAAGGTGGTGTGACTTGCCCAGGACTGAGTTTTGATTTTCACCCGGTTACTTGTGGGGCCACTCGTGGGAAAGATAACGTAGCATGGCAGCTAAGAGCACAAACTTTGAACCTAGGATTCAAATCCTGGCTCTGCCACTTGTTGGCAGCATATCCAGAGATCATTTATTTATCCATTTGTGCCCGACTCCCCTTAAACGGTTTTGAATTAAAAGGATTGAATGAATGCTTGTAACAGCCCTTAGAACAGTGCCTGGCATTTGATAATTGGAAACACACACACACACACACACACACACATCTATGAACGGATGTACTACATACACACTATCTGCCAGTTGCCCGTGAGCAGATTCTGGCTGGGGGTGGCCTCATGAGGGCCAGAACGGAGCTCTGCTCTGTAGGGTTTTCAGGGGATGGTGTTTGGGAAGGAGATTGCCAGACTTTTTCCCAAGGTGCCTCTGGTTGGACTTGAACTGCTGACTTCAGTTAGCCACTTCACACATTCACCTAGCAACTTGGGTGCTAGATGTAAACCATATCTGCTTACATATATACTACATGCAAGACAAGTGATTCTTCACCGCTGTAGAGTGCTCACTTTGTCCCTCAGGAATGACCTAGACTCCGCTTACTCTTACTTGGTACCAGTCCCACCCTATGCTTGAGTACCCAGTAGACAAAACCCAAGGGGCATAGTTACAACACTCAAGAAGGCACCGTCTTTAGGGGAAACTGGAGAGGGAGCACGGTGCTTTAAAGTGGGAGAGCCTGTGGGGAGAGGCTTCCAGAGCCAGGCAAGGTGAAACGAAGGTGGGATTGTCTCGTTCCACAACTGGAAAAACTTGGGCCCGCTCAGCAGCGGCAGCCTGTTGGGACCCATGGAAGAGAAGGGTGGTGGGAAGCCATTATTGGCCATGGCAGTGGG